TTTTTTTTTTTTTTTTATTTCTTTTCGTTTCGATAACAATCGTGAACTAAAAAAAAAACATCGAAAAGGAATCTCGTATAAAGCTAAATAATCGATCGATTGATTGATTGATTGACTGAGTAGTTAATAATGATTCGTTACACTGTTAAAATGTGATTGTGATAAACAAACAAACATAAAAAAAAAACAATTATTATCACTATTGTTTTTTCTTTAAATCGCGGAAAATAATAAAAATGATGAAAGTGGTAGAAGAAGAAGAAGAAGTCGAATGGGAGGAGGAGGTGGAGGAGGAGGAAGAATATGATGATAATGATAATGATGATGATGTTAAATCATCAAACGCATCCGGGGTATCGTTATTAAATCCTTTGGATTATTCAATTGAATTCGATTGTTTGAAAGTATCAGAAGGTAATTTTTCGATTATTATTATTATTATTACTACCCCCTCCCCACCCTTTCCCCGTCGGACAATCGCAAAATGAATTTTTATACGTCACGAAACAAAGTACATGAAAAAAATTACGTAATTTTTTTTTTAGTACCGCAAACAAACAAACAAAGGATTACGCCATATTGTTTGACGAAAATTGTTTAATTAATTAATTTTTTGAAAAATTAAAGTTTTCCCGCGCTTTTATTGTTGTTTGTTATCAATTCAAAATTTTATCGGTCAAGTTAAAGTCATCGATTTTGTGTTTTTATAGGTTTTAAGAACTTTTGGAATTGGTTATTAAGAATTTTGCGGTTTTATTGGTTTGTCATCATATAAATGAAAACATGTAATTTTCTTATGAGACAGATAGAGAGAGAGAGAGAGAGAGAGAGAGGGGGGGGGAGAGAAAGGGAAAATAAAGTTACTCATGGTGAAAATAATGAATTAGGTTGATTGGTTGGTTGGGCGGTCAATCACCGGACGGACGGACGGACACGTCTATCCAAAAACATCGGTCACATATATATATCTTTTTCGAAAAAGGATACGAAATTTTTTTTTTTTTTTTTAATGGCGGATCGATCCGCCATTAAAAAAAAAATCTTCATGTGAGATCTGTAATCCCGGTCAAGATGGATAATTAAATTCCACCGTCATTAAATTTTTTCTTTTTTTTTTTTTTTTTAACAGTTGAAAAATTGTCACAACTCGTTTAACGTCGATCGGTTTCAATCTCAAACCGACATCCCGACATTTCCGTTTACTCTTCCTTTAAACCGCAACACAAGGCGTCGCTTTCAACTTCCGGTTAAAAAAAAAAAAATTGAAATAATAATTATTGACCTTGGGGAAAAAAGGAAAAAAGTAGATTTTTTTAAAAATTTTTTTTTCTCTTCTTCGGGTTGAAAATCATTTTAATAAAATTCTTAAAATATTTAAAATTTTATCGAATGAATGAATGAATGAATGAATGAATGATTTTATGTCATTGATATTAATTACGATGTAGAAAATAATTAAATTAATTATTTTTTTTTTTATATGTTGAAAAAACAAACAACGTTTTGGAATTTTTTTTTTTCCTTTTTCAAACGATTCGAAGGTTTAAATAATAATGATAATAATAATAATAATAATAATAATAATAATAATAATAATAATAATAATAATAATAATAATAATAATAATAAAAGCCAACGGCCATAGCGTGCTGGTCACACCGGTTCCCGTACGATCACCGAAGTTAAGCAGCATCGGGCGTGGTGCAAACTTGGATGGGTGACCGTTTGAGAACGCCACGTGCTGTTGGCTTAAAAAAAAAGAGCAAAAAAATGAGAACAAGACAAAGTAAGAACCAAAAAACAAAAATCTTGTTCTACTGTCGACCTGAGGCAGCTCGACGAGAACGTGAATTTCACTGCTTCTGACCCTGGCCACTCCAAAGATGTTAGTCACTGGAGCCCAGTTCAGGAGACAAATCGTTCCCATCGAAAAAGACGGACTCAGGAAGACCTTCAAGAATTGATGTGGTGCTATCTTATAATAAGTGGCACCACCGAAATTCGAGTATTTGTCCCTAAGGAATCGGGTAGAAACCTCGGATAAATACTTAAAAAAAAAAAAAAAACTCCGACAAGTAGCCTTGTCGTGTTTAATGGTGGATAATAATAATAATAATAATAATGATGTGTGTATGACTTTAATTGATTTCAAAAAAAAATAAAATTCCCATGTTTACATCGAACGTGACGAAATCATTCGAATTTAATAATAATAAAAATAATAATAATAATAATTATTATTATTATTATTTAATAATAATAATAATTATTATTTTATTATTGTAATTCAATCACGTGGGTAACAATAATTGTGGGTAATAATGAAAATAAAATTAATTAATCTTCGTAGGAATTTAAATTTTCGTCGTTGTAAGGTTTAAGAAATAAAAGAAAATTCTTTGTGATGTAAACGATAGTATCTCTCTCTCTCGCACACGCACACGCACGGTATTTTTAAAAAAAAAACGTTTCGTGAGAAAATCCCTTGTGCATGAATTTTTATAATTAGTTAATTAACAACAAATAATTAATTTAATTAGTTTTGTTTAAATGTCTGCAATTATCGATATACGTTTCGATTATTTGTTTATTTTAAAGTGGAAGCAGATAAAAATTTTATTTTACGTCTTTGAACGCATCCTCGAATGCATACGAGAGAGAAAAATATTTATAATAAAAGATTTAACGGTTTTTCAATTTTTTTTTTTTTTTTTTTTTTTAATTTCGTGAGCGAACCAACAAAACTCGTGACAGAAACTAAAAAAAAGTTTTTTTTTTTTTTTTTTTTTTTATAAAAAAATTATTTTTTAGGCATTTTAAATCGTCTAATCCCAATTTTTTTTTTTTTTTTCATTCTATTTTATTTTACCCCAGGGGTTTTAGATTTAAAAAAAAAAAAAAAATACATTATGGGTTTTTTTCTTTCTTTTTTTCTTTTTTTCTTCGGGTTTAAAATAAATGAATGGAATTTTTTTTTTTTTTTGTAAATGTAAAACGTCAAAACTACATTAAAAATTCGATTGAATCAAATAAGTACGTTCGTTTTATTTACCCTCTTTTTTTTAAAAAAGTAAATTAGTTCCACGACAAAATCCTTTTAAACCGTGAATTTTATTAATAATAATTATTTTTGTGTTCTCGCGTAAGTTCCACCGCAACTTTTGTGGAATTAAAAAAAAAAAAAAAAGTTACCGTAATAATAATATTTTTAAGTAAAATTATTACCGGAAGTGTAATTAACACGGGATCATTTCATCGTCATCAGGAGCAGGAGTAGAAGCAGGATAAGGGGGAAGAATGGAAGGGAAGGGAAAGAAAAGGAAAATGAAACAAAAAAATTTTTTTTTTTTAAATGCCTTTATAAAACTTTTGTTCTTTATTTTTACATATATTATGTAGATTATTCTAATTATTATTTTCGTCGTAAATTCCAAGGGTCAAGGGTCAATGTTTATTTTGACCTTGTACGCGCACACACATGTGTGTGTAATTTAAACGAAAACTTTTTGTGTAATTTTTATTAATAATATCTTGCTTGTGACATTATCGTCACAAAATTTTATGAAAGATTTTCCCGTACCTGAAAGCGTCGGAATCACGTGACGATGATGATGATGATGACGTATTAAAGAAAATAAAAAATAAATAAATAAAGGAGACAAAATTATTATTTTTTTTTTTTTTTACTATGTCTAGTTTTATGTTTCTTCTTCTGCTTCTTCTTCTTCTTCTTCTTCCCCGCTTTCCCCTCTTCCTTCTGAACAAAAAAGAAGAAAAATGTCTTCGAGTAATTAATAAAATATTTGCGTCGTATTTTAAAAGTTTATTGACCCCGACCCCATGTGTCGAACCATTAAATTTTAAAAAAAATTCTCGCATTTTTGCAAAGGGGTTGCGAGTTCATATAAAAAAAAAAAAAAAAAAAAAAAAACGACAAAAGACAACGACGACGATAATGACGAAGCAAAAATTGTTCTGATGCCACGATGAAATGATACGATTTCGACCTTAACTTCTTCGTAATAATAATAATAATAATAAGAGAATTAAATTTTTATTTTTTTTTTCTCATCAGAAAAAAAAATTTTTTTTATTTAAGTGTTTCGTTATTGACTTAAACGTTTTTTTTTTTTTACGTATTGAAAAAATTTGTTTTCACAATTTTTCCGCGTTTGTTTGTTGGTTTGGTTGTTGTTTTTCAATCACGTGTTTGTTCGTGAGATTTTACTTAAGTTTTAAATTAAAAAAAAATTTTTTTTTTTTCCTTCTCGATGAATTTGACCTTTCTCACATCGATTAAATATTGTAAAATTAATAATGATAATTTTTGTATTTAAAAAAAAAAAAAAAAAATCGATTGGAAACGAAACGAAAATAATTTTGTTTGTTGTTGTTGCAGATTTACAATTGGCAGCCGAACTTGGGAAAACTCTACTAGAACGTAACAAAGAATTAGAAACGAATTTAAGACAATGTCAAAACATAATTGATGAACAATCCCAGGAAATAGAAGTAAGTTTTTTCATTTTTTTTTAATATCATAAACCTACGAGAGGGAAATGAGACAGAGAGTGAGAAAGAGAGAGAGAGAGGATAAGAGGAAAAAGGTAAAATTGTGTGAGGGGGATGGGGAGGAGGGAGGAGAAAGAGGAATAGAGATCGAATTAAAATTTAAAAGGAATATTATACACTTTAAGCGAAATGGAATTTTTTTTTCAAAAAAAAAAAAAAAAAAAAATCGTACGTTTGAAATATTTATATAAAAAAAAATTACGTAATTTTTTTATTTTATTTTATTTTATTTTTTACGAGTGTCTTTCGTTTTCGGTTTTTTTCTTTTTTTTATTGATTCGATCGTGAAAAAATAAAAAAAAACATCGTTAAAAAAAATAAAAAATCACGCGAAATTTTCGAAAAAAAAAAGAAAAAAAAAACTGCGTATTTATTATTATTATTATTATTATTATTATTACTTTTCCCCCCAATTGTCGTGAGCCGATGGCTTTTTTTTTTTAATTGAATTTTCCCGGAGCGAATTTTTTTATTCGTAAATTTACGACTTATTGGAAAACCTCAAGTAAAAAAAATTTTAATGAAAAGGAAAAAGGAGGAAATGCGTCTAACCCAAAAGGTAAAAAAAAAAATAACGTTTCGCAAACGACGCCATTATTATTTTTTTACAAATAATAATAATAATAATAATAATGGTAAAAATATTCGAAACGAAAAGGATTTTTTATTTTATAATTAGTGCACGAAATCGTTTTCCATCGTTCATTTTATGACGTAATTTTACTTTTTGCAACAAAAAAAAAAAGGATTTGAAACGTTTTAAATGATTCGCGAGATAATAATAATTATAATAAATTAACGAGTAAGAACGGAAGAAGACGAAGAAGAAGAAAAAAAAAATCCATCGTTTATTATTATTATTATTATTATAAAAGGTTAATAAATGAAGTCTTTAAAAATTTTTAATTTAAAAAATCCTTTCAGAAAAACGAGAACGAGATCGAAACGTTAGTTAATGATTAGAAACGTCAAAAAAAAGGTTTTTTTGTTTAAAAACAAATTAATTTTAAATTTCGTTTGTCGTTAAATAAGTGTTAATTTTATCCGGTAAAATTTTTCAATGGCGTAAAAAACGGAAAATTTATTATCATCATCATTAATACGTAAGACAAAGTTAAAAAAAAAAAAAAAAACTCGATTGATTAAATCAAAACGGTAAAATTTTCAATATATTATCCTGACTCTCGTCCATGTGTGTGTTTGTGCGTGTACGTGTGCAAACAGGTAGTCGCGATATGGAAAAATAATAATGATAATAATGAAAAGTTTTCAATTTTTTTTTATTGAATGTAAGTTTTGTACATAAAACTTACTGTGCAACAATTAACGTACGACATGTTGAATTTAATTAATAAATTTTTTTATCGTTGACCCACTTGTTGTTGTTGTTGTTTTGATTGATTTACTGATGACGTATGTGAAAATTTGCACGTGGAAAATTTGGTAAAAAACAATTGATGTAACAAACAGATCGATTGAAACGACGTTTTTTTTCATATTTTAATTTTTTTCTTAATTATTTTTTAAATTATACTACGTACGAAACGTTTGAGCCGGGGGAGGGAGAAGGGGAACAGGGAGGGAGAAGGGGAAACGTGAGAAATTTCCCATGGAAACAACCACATTCGATCCGTGGAAAGAAAATGCAAAATGTTTTTTTTTTTTTTTTTTCACGTTTAGAAAGTTACGAAAAAAAAAAAAAAAAAACAAAATATTAAACCTATTTTTTCTTATTGTTATGTTTTAAATCGATCGATTAATCGATTATGCGTACTATGATGACGTTTAGTTCCTTTCGTATCAATCAATATTTAATAGCACACTAGACTCACGTTTTCAAAAAGTGAGAGAGAAAGAGAGAGAGAGGAGGACATTTGAAAGGATTTCGTATCCGTAAATAATTGATTGATTGACTATTGACGGATGTTTTCGATTTGATATACATCCGATTTGATATTAATGACGAAAAAAAAAAAAAACGTACGTTTATTATTATTAATATTATTATTATTCGCATATCATGGGAAGAAAATACATTTAGATAACGATGCGTGTGTGTGTGTGTGTGTGTGTATGGGCATTCGTAGCGTGAGACAATAGAAGTAAAAGGAAAATGAAAGGAAGTCGATATTAAAATTAAATGAATCGAAACGTTAAAAAAAAAAAAAAAAAGTGGGTTGATAAGAATTGTAGTAGATAAGAGTGGCAATTTGCAAAATGTCTAACGGATAGCAAAACTTATCGAGACCAATAAAAAAAAAAAAAAAAAAGGGCATTAAAGGCACGATGGGTTTATATCAGAGAATGTGAGAAAAGAATGAGAAAAAATGAGATTAGCGGTTTTTAATGTTCCCCCCCTTCTCTCTCTCTCTCTCTCTTTTAACACATGCCTATTATTAATTTATATACCTTTATTAAGGTACTTACGGTATACAAAACGCGACCTTTTTTTTTTTTTTCTATTTAAACGATAAAAAATAATAATAATAATTGATTTGTTAAAATTTGTCATCACCGATAAGTCAAACGTTTTACCGGCGCCATTGTAGTAGTATTTAAACGTTGTTTTAACGTGGAAATCCGTGTAAAAATTATTATTATTATTATTATTTTTAAGGTATCAAGGTTAAACTTTCGATGTTTGAAAATTTATTTGAAATCGAATCGAATAAAAAAAAAAAAAAAATCTTGTAATTTTGTCAGCGTTCATTATTATATAAAATTATACGTTTGTTTGTTACCATAAACTGGGTTAATTCGTCGTAGTTTTTTTTTTTTTTTTTTTTTTTTTTGCGAGAAAAACAACCGAGCGAGCAAACAAGCAAGCAATCATAATTTTTTTTTTCTTAACGTTTGATTTCAGTATCTAACGAAACAATCAACAGCCCTTCGTAAAACGAATGAGAACAGAATAAGAATTTACGAACAGTTAGAAGTTGGCATACAAGAATTGGAAAGAGCGAATCAAAGATTGGCGTTAGATAATTCAGCTGATAAAAAACAAATAAAAACGTTATGCGCTTATCGAGATATATTGGAAGCGAGGTGCGAAGAACTCCAAAAATCATTGGACGATGCGAGAGTTCAACAAACGATACAAAAAGAAAAATTAAGGAGGCTGTCAAGTTCGAAAGAGGAAATAGAAGGAGGAGTAGGAGGAGGAGAAGGTGGAGTAGGAGGTAAGGGAGATGCAAATAAAACAAATTGTGCCACGGTCATAAGTCAAACATCTATAGAAAATAATTCGGAAGACGAGGAAGATGTTATTAACCGGCTTTCGATCAAAAATCAAGAGCTCAAAAGTCAAATGTCTAAAGATCAGAGAAAAATAGCGGATTTGGAAGAGGAAATATGCAGGAGAATACAAGATATGGCTTTGCTAGAGGAAGAACTTTGCCAGAGAGAAGAACAAGTCAAATTCCTTCGCGAAGAAATTGCCAACCTCGAAGAATTAAGGTTCGTGTGACGTGAGCGACAAAATCAAATAATCGTATATGATTCGTAATTAAAAAACCTTTTTTTTCTCTCTCTCTCTCTCTCTCGTCGTCAAATCAGGTCGGAAAATCTTTGCACGAGGTGTTTGAAAGAATTAGGTGTGCCACAAAAACATCAAATGTTATTCGATCCGGAAGAAGAAGAAGGAGATGAAGAAGAAGAATTTTTAAGCGATGGTTCAAAATACTCGAGCGAAGTTCACAGCCATCAAGAGGTTAAGGTACGTACGAAATTATACATTTTTATCCCAACCCCCCCCACCCCCACCCTCGACAGAATTATTATCAGGTATATTTTATAAGGAAAAAAAAAAAAAAAATTGATTATGGTTGTTGCTTTTTTCAGTAGCATTTGCCAATGTACATAACAAATTCGATTATTATTGTTGCATGTTGTTCTGCATGCATGCATGCATGCATGAATAGGTAAGACGTAGGTGAAAAGTAATTTTTTTAAATAATATCGAGCATGAAAAAATTTAAATTAACCGTAAACGTTTTTCCTGTTGCTCTGACGTCACAAGTCAGTCCGTTAGCTAAAAAATAATAATGATAAATAATATCGTTAGTGGTAATGTGTTAAAGTGCACGTTGTACTAACCTAATAACTTGTCGCCATTTGCTTTTTCCCATCCGTCGTTTACACATCGAAATCCTTTTTAACAAAGGATGGTATGTTACCCAAAAACTCCATCTTTTCTCTATTCGCCGCCATTATTCTCTATTCGCGAATTTTAGATATCCGATGATGGAAAAACCTTGAAAAAAAAATCAAATTCCTTTGGGTTGTTGTTGTTGTTGTTTTAGCGTTTGTAACAGTTGTAGTGCGGTAGTCACGGTTTTTTTTTCTAATAGGTCAAATAATTCTTTTTTTTTCCAACGGTAACGGTTCCACGTGATAACCTCCATTTTTTTAACCACCTTTTTTTTTAACCTTTTTATCACGATAAACGATGATGAAAATCACGATAATTTACATTTTTTTTTTTTTTTAAATATAAAAATAACAACCGTTTGTCGTTTGTCATTTGTTTGTTTGTTTTGTCTACGGATAGGAATGAAATTATTAAAAAATTATTTTCTCACCGTTAAGTAATAATAATAATAATTATGATAATTAAACGAAAATGAGGATGATGAGGATTTTTAGGATTCGTAAGCGAAACAAACGAATTTAATTTTTGACAGAATCGAATCTATGACGTAATCGTTGACGTCACGTTTAGGAAAAAATTTAAGGGGAAAAACGTCGCACGAAAATAAAATTTTTTTTCGCGCTAAAAATTTTTTGAATTTTTTCTCCCGGTAAAGGTTAAAATTTCGAAATGAATTCCTTATTCGTACGTGGATTTTCTGCCTGCAGGGAAATCGATTTTTTTTCTTTTCGTTTTCGTTTTCCCACGTAATAATAATAATAATAATAATAATAATAATAATAATAATAATAATAATAATAATAATAATAATAATAATAATAATAATAATTTTCTTTTTGTTCAATTTGTTACTCAACAATAATAATATTATCAAAGTTGAAAAAGAAGAATGAACAATAATGTAATTACATCGGTTAGGGACACGTATTATTATTATTATTATTATTATTATTATTATCATTATTATTTATTACATTTAGTAGGAAGCCATTTTGATTTTTAATCGCATCACCGGTTACGTTAAAAAGTAGTAATAACAATAACACGTTAGTAAGTTTTTCTTTTTTTCTTTTCGCACAAGTTCATTCATCTTATATTCTCACTCGGGGTGTTAGAGGAAAGGTTAAAAGGTTAAAGGATAAAAATCAATGAGGTTAGGAATAGAAAAGGTGTCAGATGAGTGAAAAGGTTAACCCCCCCCCGTTTGTAGCAACTCTCCGGCTCCCAACCAAACAAAAAAAAAAACGATCTCCTTTTAATTGAAAGCGATAAATTCAATTTTTATTTTCAATAAAAAAAAAAAAAAAAAAAATTTAAGGAAGAAAATCACTTTCGAATGTTCGTGTCTGCCACGACTTTTTTTTTTTTTTTTTTTTACTTTCTGCCACGTCGTCGTGATTTAATTCATCTCGCAATGAACGTTTTTTTTTTTTGGTCACGAACCGGTGAAAATTTTTGAATCACTAACTTTTTCTCTCTCTCTCTCTCTTCCTTCCTCCCTTTCTCTTTCGTATACGCCCACAATAAAGTTTTATTATTATTATTATTATTATTATTATTATTATTATTATTATTATTATTATTATTATTATTATTATTATTATAAATGTTATTATTACTACCATTATTGATAATGATTTTTTTTTTTGTACGATAAGGAGTAATTTCCGAACGATCAAAAGGCGGATTTTATTAATCGTTAAAATTTCTCCAAGAATGAAAAAAAAAAAAAAAAAAAAGTAAAACAATAACTACTACTACCACTACTACTACTACTACCACTTCTACTACTACTGCCACTGTTAAAAGAGGTTAAACTCTTTTGGGTGAAACCTCTAATTTTCCTTTTTTTTTTTTTTTTGGGGTAAGGAAAAAAAAAGAAAAAAAAATGGCTAAACAAATAATATTGTCACACGCATATTCTCTCTCTCTCTCTCTCTCTCTCTCTCTCTCTCACACACACACACACTTTTGTTCGGTTTACTTTTTTCTCAACGTCGCACTTTGTCACACCGCAAAAAAAACATATTTAAAAAAACTAACTATTTTATTTGTTTATTTTTTGTATTATTATTTGTATTATTATTTTTGTTTGTCGTGCGCACGTGTGCGTACGTACGTTCGTCGTACACGTAAAAAAAAAAAAAATACACGTGCGTGTGTGCGTGCGTTCGTGCGCGTATACTACAATTTTTTTAAACTGATTTCTAGGAAGAAGGTTTCGCGTCAAAATTAATCACTTGGCTACTGTCGAGATTGTTGCAAGTTTTGTTCGGTGTTTGGCTCTTTTGTAAGATGAATTTCTTCCAAATGTTTTATTTGGCATTTATACCCTTGAATATTTTATCTAGAATGTTCGTCAATAAAAAAAAACATCGCCATTGATTACATATATATATATATATGTATATATATGCATATAAAATGTAAGTTTTGTAAATACATTTTTTTTTTTATTAATTTTTAACATTTATTATTATTATTATTATTATAAAAATGGGGTTGATTCATTCATTCATTCATTCACGGTCGGTTGGGGTTGACAACCTAACAAAAAAAAAAAAATTTTTATTTTTAAAATTGCATGCCCCTCCCATCCCACAGGTTCCTTACCTCTTGGTAATTGTTCCTTTTTTTCGTTTGTTTCCTTTTGTTTTTGTATTATAATTATTATTATTATTATTGCTAGTTGTATGAATATGTATTTTATGTATGTTTGTTTGTTTGTTTGTTTGTTTGTTTGTTTGTTGCATGTTTTCTTTTTTTTTTTTGTAATTAATAGTTTTAATTTTACTTTTTAATAATAAAAAAAAAAAAAAGTTGATTTTTTTTTTTGGTTTCGGGTGTGTGAGTGTGTTTGTTTTCTTTAAAACAAACGAAAAATTGTTTGTTTGTTTGTTATTGTCATAATCGTCATCGTTTTTATTATAACATAATATCTATTACGATGGGGGGGGGATAAGTTTTAAATGTCAAATAAAAGTTTAATTTTAAATGTTTTGTAAAATGCAAATATTAATTTTATCCAAGTGAAATGTCACGAGTTTTTCTTTTTTTTTATGTTTGAACTTTATATTTGACATTTTTAATTTTTTTTTCATTCGGTGACTGACTGACTGACTGATTGATTAAATATTCAAATTTTTTTTTGTTGTTTTGTATGAATTTAAATGAAAGTAGGAAAGGGAAAATAAAATAAAAAATAAATCAAACGTGTATACGATTGGGCGTTAACTAAATTAACTCAACCAAATTATTATTATTATTATTATTATTATTAATCGATGACGATGACGATGATGATGATAATGATGAATGTATGGAATGTACAAAGTTAAAAATTTCGAATAGATTTTTTTTTTTTAATTTGGAAATATTTTTGAAAATCGAAGTGAAAAATAAAATTTTCCTTCCTTTGTGTTCAGTTTCCTCCTACTTTTCCCGCCTCCCCTTTTTTTTCTTATGAAAGAAAACAGTGGTAAAATAGGGAAAGAGGGGAAGAAAGAAAGAATGTTTTTGTGTTTTCCGTTATTAATATTTAATTAATTTTAGGAGGAAAATCCGTATAGAACATTGGCCGAAATGTACGAGTCACTAGTCAGAGAGCAGACGGAAAATCGAAAATTGAGCATGGAATTTTCAAAATCGAGTCCTTTGAATTGTCTCTCGCTACAGGAAGAACTCAAACCGTTTCAATTCAACGGATTCAATAAAGAATCGAGAGGGGATGAAGAAGCGCAATGCAAAGAGGATAGAAAAGATGAAGAGCAGAGAATGATTGGCAAGAGCAAATCATTTTCAACAACCGGAGCTGATTTTTCCGAAGCGGAAACGTCTTCGTCGGGTTTTTCAGATGAAACGAGCAACAAATCAACTCAAACTGAAAGAAATCTCGTGACGGGTTCATTCCTTTGTTCCATTGCCGATGGAGAAGACTGCATGTTTAGCATTTACGACGATGCTCGTCCGATAGAAAGCCGTTTCAGAAAGATACCGGAATACAGGAATTTATTTCGGGAAATATTTGCCGTTTTGAAACGTGCGGCCGAAGCTAAAGACAACGGAGAACAACTTCCGTTGTTGGACGATTCGACGCCAATTTCCGGAAGTATGCCGAAAGTACCGCCTGTAACTCCGGCCGCCGAAGAACCGCCGGTCGATTTCGAAGACTTGCAAAGTCTTCCAGAATCTCTTAACAAATCGGAAATTACATCGGAAACATCTTCGACGGTCGATTCGAGATTGGACGAAACTCTTAAAGATGCAACGTTGGAAGATTTACCGTCATCTCAAATCGGAGCGGAATCATCGAAAAGAGATATACGCATGACGAATGATATACTAGAGTATATATCCATCGGTGTCGGAGTCAAGAAGAAAACAAAACGTAAGAATAACAATTCGCCGGCGAGAAGGATAAAAGTATCGGAACTCGTTGAAAAAATCGAAGCCGCATCATTGAACAGTCCGAAAAAATCGGGAAGAAGGAGAAAAGAATGGAGAAATTACGATTCTCTACAAGTGAGTTCGAGAACGGAATCACCCGCCATGCAACCACACGTTCTCACGACCATACAACGGAAGGAAACACCTCCGAATTCTTCACATAAGAACAAAACGACAAGCACGTGGTCGTTTCAACCCTTCGTGAGCACGGCCGCTCAAGAAGTTGCAAAATTGAAAAAATTAGAAAAATCATACGCGGAAGTTTTGAAACAAACGGCCGTGCAAACAAAAAGTTTTGCTCGCTCAAAAACCTTTGATTACGCTTCAAAAGTCCGAACGGGAAATTTTCAAAGGTAAACATTAAATTTTAATAAGGAAAATCAGTGAGTCAGAGAGAGAAAGAGAGAGAGAGAGGGAGGAAATAATTTTAACCGGAAATGAATCGAAAACAAAAAAAAAACATGGCGGCAAGAGAGAAAAAGGAAAAAAAAATTTTTTTTTTTTTTAAATTTTTTTATTTTATCTTTTAATTTTCATTATTATTATTATTTTTACCTTTTTTATAAAAAAAATTTTTTTTTTTGTACATGGAAAGGTATCCACTAAACAATGCTGCCAACCTTTTTTTTTTTTTTAATTTGATACTCAAATTTAGGTATTAAGCACAAGGAAGCGAGGGCGTTACGATCGCTATTAATTTACCTTTTCGTATATGGTAGAATTTAATGACGGCCATTTTGTTTTTTTATATTTTATTTCTCTCTCTCTCTCTCTCTGTTTTCTTTTATCTTTTATCCGTTTTTTTTTATTTTAACCCCCCCCCCCAAAAAAAAAAAAAAAATAATAATTTTAACTTTTTTCAATTTTGTCAGTTATTAATAATTTTTTGATTAATTACCCATAGTCGTCGTCGTCATCATCATCATCATCATCATCGTTTTAAGACAGAGATTAATTAGCCATAAGTCAAACGATGTTGAAAATTAATAAATAAATAAATAATTATTATTATTATTATCGTTATCGTGATGATGATGATGATGATGACCCGATGCGATGATCGGTCGCGTTGATTTTTCACTATTTTTTTAAATTTTAAATTACTAATTGTAATGATGATAATAATGATTTTTTTCATTTTATTTTCGTAAGCGAAATTTATAATAATAATAATAATAAATTAATTAATAACTTTTTTGTGCCAATTGTATAATTATATACTTATGTATAATAAAACCACGTGTATAGACTTAAATGAAGAAGAAAACAAAACAAAAACAAAAAAGCAAAAAAAAAAAAATTTGAAATAAAATTAAAAAAATTCTTAATTGAAAATCATTATTATTTTATTTAATTTTAATTTCTTTAAATTTCATTTAATACAAATAATAATAATAATAATAATAAATATTTTTTAGGGGGGAAGGGAGAAGCAGGGAAGAGTGAAAAGGAGGAAAAGTTGTGGAAGAATGAGAATATGGAGGAGGAGAATAGCGTTTAGTAAATTTCGTGATCTCTCCTTCCCTTCCTCCCTCCCTCCCTCCTTCCCCTCCCTTCAACTCTTTTTGTTTTTAATAAGAATTAATGATAATAATAATAATAATAGGGCAATTTATTTATTTTATTTTTTAGGGGGGCTTTAATAGAAATTAAATTTTTTATTATTATTTTATAAAATTAATTAAATCCGCGCGCGTTTTTTTTTTCTTTCTAATTAATAATAATAATAATAAAACTCGCGATAATATTAATGATAATAATGATGATAATAATTACGATCGGAGAAATTAAAATTAAAATTAAAAAAATTTCACGATTTGAATAATTTAAATTGATTTACAATCGATTAATCGTTCGTTCGATTCATCGAATTATTATTTTCTTTTTTTTTAATAATTTTTCGAAAGTGGAAAATTTTCTTTTTTTCTTTTTAACTTTTATTTCAATCCGAAAAAGAAATTAATTAATTTTTTATATCGTTTTCAAATCATTAATTTAATCATTAACGCTAATGAAAAAAAAATTTTTTTATTATTTATTTATTATTATTATTATTATTATTATTACTAATAATAAATTTCATAAAATTAAATTCCTTACATATCAAGGCATGCATTACAATTTATTATTAATTAAAATTAATTATAAATTTTTTTTTTTTGAATTTGTTTTTTATTAGGTGCACACAAAAATATAAAAAAAAAAAAAAAATTAAATAAAATTCAACTCAAATAATAATAATAATAAAAAAATAACTTAAATTATATGCTAGTCGGCTAAATTTTCATTTTTTCTTCTTTTTAAGTAAATTTTTTATACTTAGTTTAAAACTCCATTTTAACATAATGATAATAACGTAATAGTTCTTATTTAACATTAAGAAAAAATTTTTTTTTTTTTTTTTCGATAAGAGAAACATTAGAAACGAAAAAAAAAAAAAAAAAGAGTCAAGAGACTAAAATGGGGAAAAAAAAGGTTTAAACGTTACAAAAATTAATTAATATTATTATTATCATCATTTTTTCTTTTCCAATTTTATCATTTCCATCTCCAATTTAATCCTCATCTCAGGAATTTGATTTTTTATGTAGAGCTTTACGAAAGGCTGTCATGTCAACTTCAACGACGGCTTTACCTAATTTTCTATCAACTCCTCCTTTCAATCTGTAATAAAAAGAAAAAAAAATTATTAACAAACAATGATCGATAAAAAAAGTTATATAAATAGTATTATTATTATCATTTTTACGTTTTCGATGCGATGGCTAACGTCGATCTATTATTAACTAATAAACATTTCATCGGTTGACCGTCCAATTGTCTATTGTGATACACGTCTACTGCTTTAACCGCATCTTTGTGTAATTTATAAACGACTTCAGCGGTTCCAGGGCGCACAACTTTACTCGATATCAATTCTCCAATGTCTTCAAAAAGCTCCTAATATCATTTAAAAAATTAATTTTGTCAAATTATGCAAAAAAAAAAAAATTTTTAATTAATCGTACAGGTACAAACCTTAACATCTTCATGTGTGACAGATGGCACAAGATTCGATACGACTATTCTGTGACCGATAGGAACTTGAACATCTGGAGAACTATTCTTCATATTTTTAGCATTTATATCTAGTTTTGATTTTAACATGTTTGCTTTTTGTGTTGTCATGTTGCCTTCTTGACAAAATCTTTCACTTAGCGTTCTAGGAGGAGGTTTACTTCTTGCCATTGGTGGAGATTCTTTTATTATTTTAATCGGTTGTTCATCGTAAATGTTTCCACTTCTAAAAATTAATTTTTAAAATTTGATTTTAAATGTAAGACTGGTAATTTTTATTCAGGATAATTAGTTATATATGTATATATATATAAACCTCTTTAATATGCCGACTGTTTCTTGAGGTTTAACTTTTTTCGTTATAACAATCGGAGTGTCATCCATTTCCCAAGATGATGAATATCCTCTAGGTTCTAAATTTCTATTCATTCCCATTGTGATTCTAGATGTTGGAATGTCTGAGTATTCATTTATATTTGATATTGTCGGCTTAGACCAAGAATAGCTTTTATCTGATTCGAATAGCTTGTTATGAGGTAAGTCATTTTCGACTGTTCGATATAAAACTGAAGCTTCTTGCCTTCCTCTGAAGGCATAATCATACATATCTTCATCCATTGTAATTCTTTCTGTGTAATTTCTGTTCAGATAAGAGATGCCATCGCTATAATCCATTAATTCTTCTTCATGCAACAAACTATTTAGTCTGGGTTGTACAGTTCTTTGTAAAATTCCGGGTTCGGATAAAACGCGAGATTGTGGATTTCGAACGCTCGCTGTTAATGTACCTCTTTGACGCTCTCTTAATTTTAATAATCGAACTCTAGCATCAGTTTGCTTGGCTATTTGACCAAGTTTTTCTCTAGCATCGGTCATTTTAAGTCTTTGTTTTTGTATTATTTTGTTTCTGGCATCTCCAATGTTTGACTGTGTAGTTTGCCCCCACGTAAGCTTGTTTGCTGCAAGTCTTGAATTTTTATTTAGAGCGGTACCTGTGGCATTTTTGGGACTTCGATTATTTTGAAGTGTTTTTTTAACAGCTCCACCACTGTAACAACAAATATAAATATTATTCTAATAGGTTTTATCTCAAAGTTTGTGTTTTAAATTGAAAGCATGCGAAAGCGGTTTAAAACTTGACACGATGCTTAAAGGCAACATTTTTTTTTTTTTGGGCAACTGAACAAAAACTTACTTATTTCTATTTCGTTTTACCCCGGTTTTGATAAGTTTCTTTTTTATAATATCGTCTAAACTGAGTTCCAAGTCACCCATTTTTTAGAAAATAATACCCATCAAGAAGAAAACAATCTTAAATTACTTTTTTTTTTGGGCCCTTAAAAAACAATATGGCGGCTGCTTTTTGTAATGGCTCGTGATTTTAAACTTAATAATATATTTTAATACTATTTTAATTTCTTTTTCGTGGCAAATTCAATTAAATAATTTTAAATTTAAAATATTTTAAACGTTAAGTTTCAAAATTAAAAAGTTATTTTAAGTTATTGTTTAGTTTTAAAAAAATTTTTTTATAAAAATATTTTACATAAAAATGCACATTAAATTTATTTTATATATTTGTGTTGAAGAAGTTTTTCTTTCGATTGAAATGTAATTTTAAAAAAGGTAAAAAATAAAGAAACAATGTAGAAATGATTTATATAGTAAATAAATGATAATAAAATAAAATCGTAATATCTGTCAAAACCACTTGTTGGTATTTACGCGTTATCCAGGGGGCTTTAAGGCAGTGAAATCAACTGCCAACGGTTGTTTTGGTTGGAAAATGGCTGACTGTTTTGTTGAACCGTTACGTGGTGTTGATCAGTCAAATTCTTGCGCAGGAGAAACTCGCGATGTTTCGCAAAATAGTTTTAATGAAATTAAAACAAATTTAGGTAATTAAATCATTATTGTTTTTAACTATTGCTTTAATGACAAGTGGATTAACATATGTGAGATGAGCAATTTCTGATTGCACAAACAATCATTCGTGTGAGTCACAGTAGTAGTTAAGTAGTAGTTTCCCCAAAAAATAAAATTTAACTCAAAAATTCGTTAAAAACATTTTAATTTAATCATTTTGTGATTTTTTAAACATGTCATTTACATAAATTTACCGTAATATTAAGACGCATATGTGATTTTATTAAATATTGTTTCCATTCACTTTTTTTTTTTTTTTTTTTTTATAAATGTTTTTCTTTATCAATGACATAATACAGGATCTGAATGTCAGTTTTATTAATTAATAACAAGTATTTGACTCATTTGTATTTTTATTAAGTAAAACAAAGAGATTTCTTTTTTTTTTTTTAAATTTTTTAAACTGTTTTTTTTTTAAGGAGCCAATGAAATATAAAATATTACAAAAATGTAAATATTTATTTTGTTTGTGTTCATTGTAATTAAATAATTTGATTAGTGTTGAGGTTAAAACTTGAAATTTTTTTTTATAATCATTAAATATTTAAATCAAATTTCTTTTTTTTAAGATGATAGTGCTGCAGTGTCACCTATTTTAAGAGAAAAATTTCCAGAGAATCAACAAAGTCCAAATGGAGATTTATGTAAGTATTTTATATTCTTTGATAATCTCACAAAAATTTAATATTTTAAAATTTCTACAAAATATGAAATTTTTAATGTCGGTTAATTATTAAATTTTTCAAAACTTTAATTCTTATATAAACTTATTGAAATTAATTTAAGACCTTATTTGTATTTATTAAATTAATAATTATTAATTTGGATTAGCCAGAGCCATCGTTTAAATAATATTTTGTTTTACATCACTCGTAATAATTCAATAAGTTAATTATTTCCGATATTGCCTTTTGGGTTTTATTTAAATAATTTTTCAATTACTAACCATATTTGTAAAAAGTTACATAATTTCATTTTTAATCAAATTTTTAATTTTTATGGTTATCAAATTTATCGAAACCATTTTAATAATTGTTATAATACACATTACACATTTTTAACTAAATTCCTTTAGTGATTTCTTATTGCAAATAATATTTATGATAAATCAAATTATTTATTATTATTCGATTTTTATGACATGAATAGTTGCTGTATAAAAAATTATTAAAAATTTCATAAAATATTTGTCATCTTCATTATTATTATTATTATTAACAGGAACTTATAAAGAGTTTCGAACAGAAATAATAATAATATTATTTAACTTTGGATTAAAATTTAGTTTTTTTTTTTTGGAAAATGGAGAAATTTTTTTTTTTTTTCAAAATTTATGTATTTACAAATGTTTGCTTGACTTTTTTTTTAACTTCATGGTTGGCTTTCATCCAGTTTAAATGATATGTTCAGATGGTTGTTTTTACAAAAAAAAAAAAAAAATTATTCTCGATTAACTGACCTTTGGCATTAATTTTTTTTTTTTCTTTTTTTAACACTAAATATGTTCCTTTTTTTGTTTTTCTCTCTCTCTCTCTCTTGTTTTTCTTTTTTTTTTTTTTTTGTATTTCAAGGCTCTAACAAAGGAGCGTTTATTAATTTAACAGGAGCCAAGAGTGAAATAAAAAAAAAAAACTAAAAAACTGGGATGAAATCCAAATTTTTACTGCGGAGATGTTTTTTATACAGTTAAGATAAATTTAACTTAGCCTTTCTTTTATTTTATTTCTTCCATCTACTTTTAAACAGTGTGTATAAATTAATTTTATTATTATTATTATTTTTTTTTTAAGGTAAAAAACCTGGGGTTTTAAATAAAAGTTCTTCTTCTTCCCCCTACTAACTAATTTCTTAATATTAAAAATTCTCTTTAGTAAATTTAATCTTTATCTTTATTAATTTATTAAAAATTAAATTATTTATTGAAGTTGATTGCATATAAAAAAAAAAAAAAAAAAAAAACGTGGAAGAAGAATGAAGAAGCAATTTAAAATATGTAGTATGAAAAAAAAACAAAAAAAAAAACTGTTTTCATTACCTTAAAAATATATAATATATATATGAAATATTGATTTTTATTTTTAATTATTTCTTTTCAGGTACGTTTTCAACATCCACACCTAAAACCTGCATAAATGAAGGTAAGAAGTTGTACCTTTTTTTTTTTCTCTTCCTTCTTCTTCTTCTTTTTCTTTTTATTGAAAAGAGGGGGGAGGGGATTTCGAGTCATTAAATAGTGATTAATCGGTTAATTTAAAATTATTTTTTAAAGGAAAAGGTAATAAAAATTAAAAAAAAAAAAAAAAAATTCTTTCGTAATAATAATAATAATAATAATAATGGTAAAGAATAAAATGGCGCTACATTTAAATCAAAGGCTCTTTTTTTTTGTCTGCCCTTAAATTAACCGATGGAATGTTTAAAAAAAAAAAAAATTCTCCTGACTGCACCTGTGCGTGTAAGTGCGTATGTGCGTGAGTGCGTGCGTGTGTATGTGTTGTATGCGGGAGAATTTTCGTGGGCCAGCCAGGTTCAAATAAACAATGATACGGTAGTAGTACAAGTAAAAGAATTTTTTTTTTTTATTGAAATACAAGTTAAGGCGCCTTCGGTTTTTTTTTTTTTTTTTTTTTAAATTTTTTATTGTTTTTAGGCGATAAAATCACGTTTTTAAATTTTTTTTTTTTTTGTTTTGTTTTTGTGGGGAGCAAGCAGAGGTGGTGAAGTGAGTAAAAACGTACCTGGCGAAGTAAATAACGTAAATTTTCTTTTTATTTTCATAATGAAATGTAAATATTTTGTAATATGATTAGAGCAAAAAAAAAAAAAAAAAAAAAATCTTATTTATTAGTGATAATGTTGAAATTCAATCGAAAATCATAACAAGTTTTCATGGGTATGTGGTTCTTATCGTAAGCTTTTTCCAGTCGTCGTAATGGCGGTTTAATTTAAATAATAATAATAATAATAATAATAAAAATGTAGTCTTGTGCGTTGAATTGAAAGGTAGTGTGTATAGAGAATAGCAGAAAACTTTGCTTTTTTTTTATTTATAAAATGTGATGCCTAAAACCGACTGTGTCATCGTCATTTGTTTCGATCTTACTAAAATTCATCCGAAGCTTTTTTTTTTTTTTTTTTGATTAATTGGCTGATCGATTGATTGATTGATTGATCGATCGATTGATTGGTTTTATGGTTATTCGCTTTTTGTTTCGCTTCTGTGCAACAACCAAATAATTTTATTTTATTTTTAAATCGGTGTTTACTCATTTATTTATTTATTTTTAATAATTTCTTTTTTTTTTTTAAACGAGACTTTCGCGTTCGCATTACAGATTTCAACAATTTCGTAATAATAATAATAATAATAATAATAATGATTTGTTTTCACTTTGAATTTTATTATTTTGTCGTAGAAGAGTGAGAATAGTCGATTGTTATATTAAAACGAGTGGTACCACTTGAAATATTTAAATAATTTGAATTTTATATTTTCAAAACTACCGCGAGAGAGTGTCAGAGAGTATTTAAGGTTTAAGAGGAGAAAGTGTATTTAGGTATAATTGTAAAAAAAAAAAAAAAAAAAAAAAAAGAAAGGGAAATATGCGCGAGGATAAAATAATTTAATGAAGAGTTTATGTGTGCGTGTGCGTGCGTGCGTGTGGCAGCCGAAGAGAATGAAAAAATCAACCCAAGGCTCAAGGATGTGGTACCCGTAAATGCACGGGGGTATTGTTGAAAATGATTGTAATTCGTCTGCTATTTGGATTACGTACTTATTAACACCAGAAGATTTTTTTCATATACGAGCATATTGTGAACCTCCACCTCTAAAAAACACTTTCGTTTTGTTAACAAAAAAAAAAAAAAAAAAAAGAATATTTAGCCCAAATTTTAGTCAATAATTAAGGTTTTTTGTTTTTTTACCGAAAAAGATTATACGTACTATCCGAGGAGTAGTAGTAGTAGTAGTAGTACCCTACATTTATCATTCTTTTATCTTGAGTACTGAAAGGGTGTCTTTGGGTGTCGGAATTCCAACCTAATAAGATTTAAATTGGTTTGAAAGTAAAGCCGAACGAACCAGTTTCATCATCATCATGTTGTTGTTGTTGTTGTTGTTGTATTTTCAAAATTTTAAGAAATATCATTCAAGATGGTTTACGTACAGGTTCTTGGATTTTTTTTATATTATTTATCGTTATTTGTGTGTCGACGAAAAATTTCATTCCTGAAAAACCTATTTTTTTATTGTTCGAAAAAAAAAGGCATTCTCGTTTAGAGAATTATTATTATTATTATTATTATTTGACGTTGTTAATTTTTGTTTATTTTGTTTTCTATGCATT